TAATCTTCAACAAAGAGTAATGAGTAGACTAAATTTTTAGACCAAATTTGTAAATAATATTACGTGTCATCAAAAAATTTAATTTAATATTCATTCATTACTTATACATATCCTTAAAGACTCGAAAACATTATTATTATTTTAGTCTTATATTGACGAGGTTAGTAAATAAGAAAAAATAGCTCACGATTTATACAAAAACACTTTAAAAGTTCGGATGGAAAACAAACTCATAATCTATTTACTTGTAAGGCTGAAGTTTTTTGGTTTCCTTCTTTCAATACAAGATAAATTAGTTATTCTGTGTTTCTAAATTATTGAGTTTAAAGTGTTTTTCTAAATATAATTTTATCGATGTCTTACGTGTGAAAACAAATAATTTTTTATATGAAGTGATGGCACATTTTTTGACGTCACCTCAGCCCTCAAAAATCTTTAGACCGGCCCTGGAGAGAGAGCAATGTGCGAGGGAGGTGGATTGTTTGCCCTCCCATTTCCATACTCTTTCCATCCCCTCCTGTTTGTATGGTCATAGTTAAACCATGTCAACATTTTATATTATTTTTTATAAAAATAATAAAATAAAAAGTAATAAAAATATAAAATGTTGACATAGCTTAACTGTAACCACACAAAATAGAAGAAGATGAGAAGAGTGAAATGGAATGACAGACAATTCACCTCTATGTGCAAGAGCTCCTTTTTTCCTGAAACGTGTGCGGAGAGAGAGAGAGAGAGAGAGAGAGAGAGAGAACGTACAGTAGTGAGTCAGATTAGAAAAACAGAGAGAGAGAGAGAGAATAAGGTCTGGGGGGCCTACTACCATGACCATCCATGTATTGAGGCTTTGAGTCTTTGACAGAGAGTGAAAACGGGTCAAAGCCATACCGCTAAAGTTAGCCTTTTTTTATTTTATTGTTTGTTATTAAGTTGTTTTCCTCTGTCTTTTATTATTAGGGTTTTATTTTTTATTTATAAATAAAATGTTTTAAGTTTGATGTTTTTATTTTTTATAATGAGGTGAGTTCGATTCCAAATTGTTATGGTATGTGAATTATTTGGTTCAATTCAGTTTCCTCACCACATAATATAAAATATAAGGTCGTTTAGAAGTGTTTTTAAAATAACTAAAAATATTTTTAATTTTTGAAACAAATACTTAATAAAAATTCAAGTAAATCATGTAAAAGCCTTTTAGTGCTTCTTCATTTTAAGAAGCATATGTGTTGCTTCTTCCACAAAGCTTTTGAAATTCAAAATAAATTTTATCTAAGATGCTTTCAATCATTCTAGAAACACTTTCAAACGAATCATAAATCAAAATCAATTCCCTCTTCCTGCAAATTATTAAGTTTTTTTCTTTTTTTATTGGAATTCAATTATTTCGATGTAATTTGTCACAAATACAAGTGTCTGAATCAATTTATGGGCCTCACCTAGGCTCCACCCTGTCCCCCATGCTTTGGTAGTTTTGAGCTTTTCTAATTATTTAAGGGGTTTGGGGACTTTGGGAAATGACCAATTGACCAGGCATGTCCTGTCCTTTATGCCACTTAAAATAAGATGTTATTGTAAATTCGAGCATTAATTAATATTAGGGGCAAATGGTCCGTGAGAGTACTACTTGACGAGATCATGATCCAATTGCATGGTTAGGGATTTGATTTTTATTTTTTTTTAAAGAGATTAGTTGGTGGCTTTGTCATAACAGATTATTTTTTTAAAACTGAGAAAATTTACAGAAGCATTTCAGCCTCTCCATGCCAAGTGGAAATGACACCGTATCCGGATCATTGTCGTAGATCCACAACTTTCTAAGAGAGGTGAGTTTGTGCAATCCCCACTCCAACTCCCAGAATGACTTACAACTTTTGACCTTCCAAATTGTAAGTGATGTGAGGTTGGGGGGGGGGGAAAGGAGCAACTCAAACCTTTACGGTAGTCAATCATCAATCCCTCAAGAGAGTTGAGATTGTGCATGTATTCGGGCAACGCCTTCAATTTGTCACAATCGGTGATCTCGACCTCTCTTAGGTTGGAGGCTCTTCTACCCCCACTCAGTCTTGGGATGGAAACAAGATTTCCACAGTGATAAATATCCAACGTTTGAAAATTGATGAGGTGGCATACGCCATCCGATAAGGATTTCAGATTTTGGCACTGCCACATCCTAATATATTCAAGACAGTGATTAGTATTGTCGCGGAAGAACTCGTCTAGTGTTATTAACTCCAGCTGTGTACCCTTAGGTTGAGCCCTAGATTGCCTATGTACCATTTTTGGAGAAATTAAGTCACTCGTAGTCCTTAGATGTTTTGATTTGAGATTTTTAGTGAGTGAACACCCATTGAAGAAAAAAAAAAATATTTGGTATTTGGTTTATTTGAACAATTTGAACAATTTGGATGTGTTGGAGTGAATTTGGTTTATATACACCATGGATTTGATTTGGTACTTTGGTTTTGTGATTGTATCTATAGTATGGTACTAGACTACCTATGTACCATTGGCCAGATCAAACCGGTGTAGTTAATGGATGAATTGGTTTGGGATTTTCAATGAGTGAATGCCCCACTGCAAAAGTAAGATTTGGTATTTGGTTTATTTGAATACTCTAGATTTATTTGAGTGAACTTGGTTGAATGAACCAGGGATTCGATTTTGACTTTGTAGGGAAATTGCATCTAAATTGAGTCTCTAGATTCCCTACGTATTCTTAGCAGGATCAAACTGACGTGGTTCGAAAATGAATTTGGAATTTAATTTGTGTGGCTTCGTACCATTTGAGAATTTTGAACTTTGGAATTTGATGGGTATTTTGTATCAGCTATTTGCTAACTGAAAATTTTGAAATTTGGAATTTGATAGGTATTTTGTGTCAGCTATTTGCCATCTGACATATGCATTGTAATGCACCATTTTATATGACTTTGCATGAGTTTCCCACCAGTTATCAGCTAATTGGCATTTAGCTAACCTTAAATTTGAGTTTCGACGACAAGGCCAACTAATTTGGCTTGGATTTGTTAATGGGGATTCGGGTTTGAATATGAATCTCATTAACCACTTGGTAGCTTTTCTATGATTTGGATTGCTCTACTTCTTTGATTGACATGGCTTTATATTCGGAAGAAAACCCCCTGCTTCTCTTGGTCTGTGCTGCTGAACTTTTCTTCCTTTTCGGTTTTTGTCACGGGGCTCTATGGTCGCACTAGTGATCCTCGCGCCATAGTCTTCGCTTTCCTCTTTGAATTTCACTGGAGTTACTTCTAAGAGAGTTGCTGCTATGGCGGGAGCGGGCGACACGACGTCTCTGAAAGCAAGTCTGAAGTCATGTTTACCTTTGAAGTCCCGCTAGCACTTCTCTTCTTCGTTTACTTTTGAGAAAATGAAGACTTGTTTTGCTTGTCTTCTTTTGAATTTTAAATTCCTTTTGTGACAATGGAGGCGATGGGGTTGCCCATATTTCTTCATTTTCTTCTTTTCAGTATCAGTATTAAATTCTTTCTTCCCTTTGTTTAAGCTTTACCCAATATCTGATCAAAACGATAACCATGTAAATGGCATTCAAGTTATCTGGAGGACCTTTCATCTTTTTCTGGAGTATTATTCTTTGAAGAATGAAGCAGCAGCAGCGTGCCAAATTCTTGGAGACATGTTCTTCTATTTTTTATTCAACTTTTGCCAACAAGCTTCTGGGTAATTTCTCTAGGTTAAGGAAGAGAACGTGGGATCATCTCGAATGTCTCCTTCTTGCTGCTTTCCTTTTATTGTTATTGTTTGCTGGCGATGATAACAGTAGAACTTCATCAAGGTACTGCTTACCCTTGGACGCTATGTTGAGAATTAATCTCACATCAACTGGAGGAGAGGCATTGCATGAGCTTATAAGTCAGTTGGTTTACTCCCATATTGCTAATTAGTTTTATAGTGGAATCTCACTTTTTTTTTTCATGGTATACAATGAGATCGGGTAACTTCAATCCACCTCAACAAATTGCCAATTTTCCCAGTCCTCTGCCTCACAGGCCAAGGAATCATATTCAAATTCAACAAAACTCTCCTGCTCACTCAACTCGACACGAGATCCCACGGGCTCCTAATCAACAGTTCAGCAACAATCTCGCATTTGCCTCTGGAAGGAGGACAACTTTATGATCCATTCTTGCCCAATTCCGCGAGTCATTAGCAGGGAGGTAATCCGGGAAACATGTAGAAGCAAGAGAATGATCTATTTATTACTATTGTTATTTCTTATACAAGCAACAATGCAGAAGGATTAAAAACACTCTTTTACCCACTTGAGCAATAAGCCCCTTGCCTTTCCATTTCCTTGTTAATTGCCTAATTCTCGACACATTAAATTAAATGAACTACTCACTCACAAGTCACAAATTGCTAAAATAAAATAAACGGGGATAGGAAAACGGTGATCCCATAAACATCCATCATAGGGAGGAATTACAAAAGTTGAATCAAACCCTCTGCCATCCACAAAAGGACGAGTTGCTTCTCCCTAAATTCATAGTTGTTTGGAAGTATTGACCAATACGCAAAACACCTCTTCAAATTTGATGGAAGATAGTGATAGCTAAACTTTAGTATGGGGAGAATGCCACTCTTATCTGCTATATTCCACAATTTGTTATTCAATATTTCTTCCCACTCATCTTTTTCTTTGCAACGTAAAAGGCCACTGAGAGTCCTTGCAGCTAATTGTAATCCACGACATTTTTCGACAATTTTTCTTCGAATTAACTCATAATTTACTGGTTTTCCATCGTTAAGTTCCCCGAATGCATGTCGCTCAAATATTTCCAAACAATCATCATCTCCCATGCACTCCAAATTATGGACTCCAGCGGCTCCCATAATCTTTGCAACATTCACATCACGGGTTGTCACAAGTATCTTACTTCCTCCAGCTCCAACGCCAAAAGGGGATTGAAGTCTTGTCCAGAGATCGTATAGATCATGGTCACCTTTGTTCCAAATATCATCTAAAACGATTAAAAACTTTTTTCCTCTTAACTGCTCACTCAAATCATGCTGCATTTTACTAAACTCCTCGACTTCAACAGGTCGGGATGTGATTGATTCAAGAATTGCTTTAGTCACTCGCACAAGATCGAAGTCATCAGACACAGATACCCACACCTTAGGCTCAAACTCCTTCATGGCATCATCTTTGTGGTTGAATACAAGTTGAGCAAGTGTCGTCTTCCCGACTCCGTGCATCCCAACTATAGCTACTACACCAAAATTGACAGTACCTGCATGCTCGCATTCTCTTGACAACAATTCGATAATCTCCCTTTTGTCATCATCTCTTCCAACAACAAGCTTTTCATCTAACACGCCTGCACTTTGTAAACTTCGTGATTCCTTATCAGACGTCCCAGTATCTTTCAAGCCAAACTTTTCTTTCCGTACAGATATGTCTTGCAACCACTCTCTAATCTTCTTCATTTCGGAGTTCATATCAAACCTCAATTTAACTTTATAAAATGATCTCCATATCTTGTTGCTTGTGTTGGCTTGTTCACGTCCCTCTATCATGCGCTTCAACATTTGTGTGGCAAATTTGTCCAACATGTCTTTGATATCATAAGCCAAATCTCTGAGATCATCGGGCCACAGTTTGACAGCACCCTCAGTCAGTTGCCTTTCCTCGGCATCACTGACCACCACTCCGATTGTAGATAACGTGGTCCTCCACTTCTCCAGCTTCTTTCTGACGCCCCGGAAGTTTCCAAAGTAGTTGAGAATCTCGCGAGCGGTCAACCTGTCGAGCAGCAACGGTAGAAATGCCGCAAGAAAAATCTCTCCCAGTGCCATATTAAGCGTGAACTGACCTCCAAGCAATCAAAGAAACAGCGAACCGTTCTTGAGCAATATTGAGGTGCAGAACTCAACGAAAGGAAGAGTAACAGTCAAAGCCTAGTTCCTTGCAAATTTGGAAACTTGATCTCTTGAGACTCATAAATATTCACAACTGCATAAATTAAAATGATACGAACTAATTATTGATGCCTGCGCAATCATATACAAATTTATAGTAAAGGTGAAATAATCAATGGACTCCTAGTAAGCATATCTAGAGGTGCCAATTTGAGACTTGGGATGGCAACATGGCGGATTCAGATCAAGGTTGCCTACATCATAAGTTTGATAACCGTCCCGCCACTATGTATACCGTCCCTGTTTCGTTTTATGGAAATATTATTTTCCTTGTTATATACAAAATAATCTAACAACCTGATGTTGTATGTCTAAAGCACAATAAAACACACCATATTAATGGCGCTTTACAGCAATGTCGGAAAGCAACCATATTTATCCACCCCATTATGGGTTTGATCTCCACCGATCCCCTCCCCTTAACAACTAACAATTTCACCGACAACACTATCATTTGTAAAAAAAAAAAATGTCATATGATATTACTCAGTAACAAAGTACAAAAAACACAACATATAAATTTGAAAGACCAGGAAAAAGAAGAACTCAATATTGCAAAAATCATATAATAGTATATATTATTTTCATAACATGTTGAACGGAAAAATGGGTCAGTTTTGGGATTACCCGTAACTGTAGGGATCCTTGCAATCCTACGTTTCTTTGCTATAAATAGGTAAAAGTTAGAGAGATAGCCTTTACTAGTGACAGGAGCAAAGCAGGTGTAAAATATCACATTGTAACTATAACACAAGGGGATGACAAATAAAAGATGGAGAGATAGATAATGAATGTTATTTATCTTTCCTTTTTCTCTGTGTGTTTTGATAGCAGTCGGAATGCTCTATTTATAGAGCAACTCCGTACAAACATATTCTTACATTTTGAAATTTACAGCACATGACTTTGAAAATACGATCTCCTTTATTTCCAAAGTCTACATCACTTTGTGTGCGTATTTAAAATCTATGGCATTCATTCATTAATCTGCCAACATTTTCAACATTGCCAATGTTTTCAATACTGCCAATGTTTTCAACATTCTTGAGTATATTTGAATTGTTTTATAAAAACTAATATTTATACATTTGTGTGCTAAATTCTGACTATAATAAAATCTCTCCACCCGCTACCATTAGAGCAACTCCACCCATGGAGCCTTCCCCCCTGGCAATGCACTATTGAATCCACCCTTTTGAACAGTAACTGCCTTAAATGAATAGTAACTGACATTAATGAACAGTAATTGCCATTTGCATCTCCACCCTTGGAGCCCTCCCCCCAGGCAATAGGCAATTAAAATAATAGTTTTTTTTGTTTGTTTAAATAATACAAAATAAAATTATTTGTAATTTCGGATAAGAATTCTTAAATCGTTCTCGTTGCGCCACGTGTCATTTTATAAAAAAAAAACAATTATTTAGCGAAGGATTTCGATAAGATTTTTATCCAATGTTATCGTGTCATGTGTCGTTATCTTTTCAGAATCTTTGGTAAAAATAAATAATTTTTTATACATTAAAAATATTATAATATTAATCCAATTAAAAAAATAAAAAATAAAAAAACAGAAACCCGAACCCAGATCCATTTCTTCCACCTCTCCTCCCACCCCCGAGAACCCCCTGCAAAAACCAGAACCCAGCTACCTCCCCCCCCACCCGCCGCGACGACCCACCCCCCACCCCCGCCCCCGCGACGACCCACCCTCCCCCCCCCCCCGCGACGACCCACCCTCCCCCTCCTCTCTCTCTCTCTCTCTCTGACACAAAAAAAAATAAAAAATTGCAAAGCCCTCGGGCCACAGGCCCGTCGACTCCCCACCCCCCCTTCGCTCGGGCTCCCACCGTCGCTCGGGCTCCACACGGCTGGAGCTCAGTCCACAGCGCCTCGGGTCCTTTCCTCTCCACTGTCCCCCGAGCAACCAGCAAGGCTGGAGTTGCTCTTAGAGAGCGGGAGGGGTGACGCCTACCCACCAAACCCAAAAGTAGGGGGCGGTGTCCTTTGGGATTTCTAGAGGAACATTAGGTAGGTATGCTTTGCACCACAAACATGTGCAAACCAATTTGATTTTGGGTTTCTAGTAATATCCTTTCTTTTCTTAATTTTAAACAAGAAAGAATTGCCTCCGCTTTCTCTTTGCACGGTGTCTAATCTTCCTTAATGGACTGATTTTACAGTGTTAATGCCAATATTTACACGATAAAACATACTTGTTAACGACCATTATGATCGACATCTTATTTATATCATATCAACATTCTGTTATTTAATAAAGAAGAAATGTCTTGTTTAGAGAAAAACTACCTCATCAAGATATTACCAAACCATGACAGTAAAAATAACATAATAAAACTACAAGACATTTTTCTTTAGGGTTGCAACAAATCAATAAAGCACAATTGCAGTAAAAACTTGATTTCCAAACTAATTTACAATAAGAATGAAGGAGCCACAAGCAATATGGGTTTTCAAAAATGCTGTTGGTGCATTATTCAGAGATGTGATCTGATAATTCAAAGACTGCCCGCTGTCTGCAGTCTAACACTGAAATGGTAACTGGTCTTAATATGCACTGCACACTCTATAAAAGTATATTACACGAAACAAAGAAGGTCATGGACCGCGAGGTGTGCTGAAACAGAAACAGCCGGTAGACTGGTCTTCAGGTATCATGCCGCCTCCCTTGCTATTATCTATTGCATACAACATTTTCACTACCTCTTCCATTTCAGGGCGATTATCCGGGTTTGCATCCCAACATTTTCGCATGACGCTAGCCAATGTGCTTGGACAACATCTTGGGATTTCTGGTCGTAAATTCTGCCATCCAAGCATAAAATATTAGGACTAACAATTTTTTATCAACATTACTTAAAAGCCAAAGACAGACAAGTTTTGCTACATCAGTTCCACTACTTCAAAACAAATGTGCAGTAAAATCTCATAAGGAAATTAAAGCAGTATATGTGCAACAACAAACCAACCTGTCGCACTACTGCAGATGAGACATCAGCAGAACTTAGATTAGGATAAGGCATGTCGCAGCAATAGATTTCCCACAAGCAAAAACCAAAACTATAGACATCGCATTTCCTGTTGTACGGCTTGCCATCAAGGAACTACAAAAACCTTGATGTTAGAATTCTAATCCAATTTGCAGCAAGGGGAATCTATAAAAGGTCGTACCCAGTGCACAAGGCTCCTGCTTTACGCAGGGTCTGGGAGAGGTGAATGTCGGCTAGCCTTACTCCCATTTATGGGAATCTATAAATAAAAGAATGTCACTCGCTTCAAATTTGTTTAGAACTAGATTTGGCAATAATTTACAAAAAGTAGGTACCTCTGGGGCCATGTACCCAGTCATGTCCCTTGGTTTATGTGCTTCTATTATAGTAACGCCAAAATCAACAATTTTCAATGTTCCATGATTATCAACCAACATATTTTCCGGTATGACATCATGGTGTAAAATTTTCTTCGAGTGAAGATAGCTCAAACTGAGAGAATGAAACACCAAGAACAATCCTTTAGTTTGAAACCCAACAAAAAAAACTGAACTAAATCAAAGCACCAAAAATGAACCCAACTCACCCTTTGGAGAGATCCAAGGCAAGTTGAATCACAACCTTAAAGGCAAGTTTGTTTCTTCGATTCCTGATCAAAAAGTTCTTTAGCGTCGTACCACCAGGAACAAACTCAACGATAACACAACAAGCTCTTGAAGGAGGAGAATTATGGCTATCGTTTGATGTGTTTTTAACAGGGATTTTTAGGTTGGAAGTTCCCATTGAAGCTCCGACAAACTGTCACAAATATAATGGCCACAGTTTAAATAGATAAATCATAAATCTCAACCATAGGAGAAGATAACAGCAAATGAACATAAAGTAAACCTGAAAATTGACATTTAAACAGTATCAAAATTTCATCTGAAGCTACCGTGACTTTATAGGACGCAAACTGAGATGAAGAACCAATATATACTAAATTTACCTTTGGAATATTTGGGTGGTCAAGCTTATGCCAAACAGCAACCTCTTGCTGAAATGATGCCCAAAGAGCAGCAGTTTCAGCTGCTGTGGCAATACCATCCTCCCCCCAATCCAATATCTTCACTATAATATCAAGAATACACAGTCCATGAGAAGAATATTGACAAAAAAAATAAAAAATAAAAAATACAGGGTAACCTATGGTTGGGAGTTCATTATTCAATCAAATAACACCGCTTTCTTACATTCAATCAAAAAAATTTGTGTAGTTGTAAATTTGTATCTAAGGCAAACAATCACATGTATTCTTTTGTGCAATGAAGTAAACCCCTAAGTCTAATAACAATGAAAGTTTGAAATCTGAGTTCAGCATGCTAAAACCATTCCCAATAGATTCATTAACCATCTAATACACGGTCACTACAGCAAATTCTGTAATACAACAATCCCAAACGAGCCCATGATACTATACTAAACAATTATAGATGATGGCTTACCGTCTAGGCGTCCACCAACTCAACAAACTGTAAAATTTCTCAATTCCGTTTCATTTCTGGTGAAACCCATTGACCACTAAACTATGTTTTAAAGTCTCAAACATGGAAAACTTAGGCATGCAAACAAATCCTGCACATCACCAAAATTGCAACAACGAAAAAGAATTGAAAACGAATTGAAGCCTTCAGAGAAATCTAAGTACCTACAACATCTCGGCTGCCATATGCGCCACGATACACGGTGCCATAGGTTCCATGAACAATAACATTTCTTATATCCAACTGTGCCAAATCAATCTCCCACTCTTCCATCTTTGCGTTCTCCTCCCTCTCCCTCTCCCAACCCCTACTCAAGTGCTTCTCCAACTGGATATCCCGCCAAATC